TATCATTTGTGTCTTTCCTCTACAGTCTCTTTGCTGTCCTTGTAGGGCTGATGGAGGAAGAAACTGCCTGATTCCTTAGTTTATGTTTTACTCCAGAGTCCATGAATGCTGATGATGTTCTGTATTCTTATTGGTCCTGATTTTTCAGGGCAGTATCTTCTCAACCTATTCTACAAAATATTTGTTTGCAAGAGCCTGAAGGTGAAATGTCTAGGACATGCTCTGTTTAGCCATGGTGTCTGAATGATGAATACTGGATGAGATTTGGTAGTCAAAGATTAAGCGTGCCCAATACAAGTTTTTGGGATTTGTTAACTATTGATAACAGTTTCTCACTTTTTTATTTTTATTTTTCACTAAGATGGACTTCTTAGAAATGTGGATGAGTACTTAAGCTTTCTAGCCCTCATTTCAAGAAGTATCATTGTTAGCTAAAAATGTTTGTTTTTGACTAGTAATTTAAGCTTGTGTTAACTATAAATCTGTCTTATGTGGACAGACAAGTTTATTTATCTGAATAGGAAAGAGTAGATACAGAAAAATGGAAGTTAGATTGTTCTTGGAAAGAAGAACTCTCTTGGGAACAAGGAGTGACTAGTACTGGGGTCACAGAGAAAGAGGGTCCAACGTTGTGGTGTAAGATGGTGGATTAGCCAGATGTCTTGAGAGCAGATGTTGTGGTTCTAGTCCTTCAATTTCTGTGAGATGTTGACTCTACTACTCAGAATGAGACAGTAACAAGGCATAATGAGGTAGTCTGTAGCCTAAGAGAGGGAGATATCTGGTGACCAGCATTTGATCAATACGGTGACAGAGAAGGCTGGTGCTGGGGATGGGTGATGTGCAGAGAGGAAAAGACTACATTTTCACATTAGCTCCTTGTTATCATGTCATTGCTGATTATGCACACAAGGATCTGCCGGATTATGATCCCCCTTGGATGGCAATGGAATCTTAGTGTGAAAATAGAATGTGCTTGGGTGAAATTCCTATGCTGACTTTTTTCCCTGGACATTGAGACTCTGGTCACCATGGTGGAGAAGGAGCTCGGGATTTGAATTCGGACCCCATCACAGGTCAACTGTGTAACTCTGGGGAAATTACTTAAATTTCTTTGAATATTTATGTCCTCATATGTAAAATAACAATAATAAAAGCACCTACCTTATAAGCCTTTGTAAAAATCAAACAGGTTAATTCATGGAAAGGAAGATTAAAGCACATTCAATAAATGTAAGATCTAGGTATTATGGTCCTGAAATTGAAGGTACTTCTAACCTAACTCCATCCACTCTACATCACTGAAGTTATGGCTTCCATACTTGGGGCCATTCATAACATGAAGACCATGGAAAAGGTAATCTGCAGCTGTATCAACACCTCTGCGCTGAGGTCAACTACTTTATGTAGACGTAGGAAACAATAGCAATCAAGACCATCCTTGAGACTTGGAGCTGCAACCTCAATAGGTCTCAGTGCCTTGAGTTTATGTGCCATGTTTATGGGCCACTTTGAGTTCCACAGGACGTGATACCAGCTGGTTAAAACCCTTTAGTGATGCCTTGTCATGCACATTGAAAATCTAGTTTATTGCAGAGTTCCCTGCCTCACCTCCCCAAATGAAATTGATGCAGAAAAAACGGATGTGGGCCGTGAGGAGGGCCATGTCCCCGGCTTCGCTTGAGCCCCTGGGACGTGCCCCGCCAAGTGTGGGTCCTTGGCTGCACGCAGGAAAGAATTCAAGAGTGAGCCACAGTTGAGTAAAGGTAGATTTATTCAGAGAGATACATTAAGAAGCAAGAGAAAGGCCACGAGGTGTGGGGGTTGGGTGCTCAGAGTAAAAGTAGGTACATACTCCATAGACAGAGTGTGGGCTGTCTCCCAAGAAAGAGAGAGGGGCTGCGAGGGGGCAGTGTTGCCCATTTTTATGGCTTTGGTAGCTTCCTATGCAAATAAATGGAAGAACCAGTCTAACTAGCCTGGGGAAGGGGCTGGGATTCCCAGGAAGGTGGCCATTTCCCACTCTGACCTTTTGTGGCTAGCCTTGGGACTGTCATGGCGCCTGTAGGCCTGTTATTCACCATGCTGATATATTACAATAAGCATATAATGAAGCTCAAGGTCTACTAGAAGTTAAATCTCCCTCCATCTTGAGCCTCAAGGCCAACTGGGGGTTGAGTCTTTCACCATTTTGTTGTTAACTGCTGTCTCATTCCTTGAATGGCTGTGCCCTGCCCCCTTCCTGTCTCAAAATGAACCTCTAGAGCCTAGAACTTTGCTGCTTATCCAGCTCCAGTTTCACTTGCTAAAAGAATTTGGTCAGGATATCAGGCAGAATATTGTGTGCAGGAAGATGTGAGCAAGATTGAGAACCATCCCAGGCCTGAGTAGTCCAGATCTAAATTTGCTTAGTTACCCCATGGGAAGGGCAGAGAGATGCATGTATTATAAAATGGAAAAGCAGCTCTCCAGATTCAGATGAATAAACTAACAGTAGCTGATCACCCCCGCAGGCTAGGCATTATAAGGTTGAACCAATCCTATTGCTCAATGGGTACAACCTTCTATTGCATTCGCGGAAGCCCAAATGCAAAGAGAACTAATCATTTATATAGTGAACCAGGGACAGATCTGGGACCAGAGATTAGGGCCAGTGTTCCTTCAATTTATCCCGTCATGTACTGAAGTAAATGTGACTGTAAGTGAAATACTTCATTTTATTAGCATCTCCTTAGGACTGTAACATTGAGATCAACACCATGGAAATTCAGAAGCACCGGATTTAGCAAAAAATAACTTGCAACAGGAAAATGTTTTAATGAAAAGGCAAAAATGAGCTCCCCCCCCAATAAAACAAACAAAAAGTAGGGACAGAGCCAGATTTTTCCTACTCCTGAGAAGGATTACAAAGAGCATGAGAAAGAGAAGAGAAGGAAAACTCATTCTAGCCTTTTATTTGTAGAAACAGAATTGAGTCATTTCATTAGGGGTCCTTGGTCAATGGGATTTTGCAAAGGCAGACTATAAAAAAAAAAAATTCCTCCTCCTCATTTTGGGACTTTCGAAGACACTTGTTGCTCCACTGTAACATTGCTTATTGTAGAGGATTTTTCTTCAACTGGGTGGATCCTTAGTGAAAGGACACTGCTGAGCTGGTCTAGCTCCTCCATCACTGTTTTGATAACAGTTTCTTCTTTTGAGTCTAAAAGAAAGTAGATGCAAGTTTAGTACTCATTCTTAGCAGGTTGAAGGGTGTTAAGTCACAATGGGTATAATGGGTATGCTTTTAAAAAACAGTGTTTGCAAATTTGCCATAAATTGAGATATAATACTGTGTGGGAAGTCTATGTTTAGCAAGGCCTGGGGCTATCTTGTATTTACCACTGCTTTGAGAACAATTGGTGTTTGAAAGCACAAGTGAAACACAGATTAAAACATAAGTATCAGACCAAGTAGAGGCCTGGAGCAAGTCATGTCTTCTTTTAAAAACACCCCTATTTTTGTGGTTTTAAAATATAGGAGCTCTGCCATCAAAGCA